GGTACCGTGACGTCACACACTCACTCTCCCTCCCTCCCTCTCCCACCCTCCCTTACCACACAGTGTCATACTCTTCACACACGTATTTATACACCGTCTAGTGTTCTTGTTTTGTAACTTATAGTAATATTGGTAGTATTAGTTGTTGAGTAGGTAGTGGTAGAAGTCGTAGTTGTGATGGTAGTAATAACAGTACGGTAGTATTAATAACTTCAACAACTGATATTGCAATTGTCAGTGAACTTGAAAAAAAAGTAGCTATAGCGCAGGAGGTGGGCGAACTGGCTAACAACGTTACGTTACCGATAAGGACAAAAGGTTTCAGCCTTAATAAACAAAAATTTACAGATGCCATTGCTCTAAGCCTAAGGTATGGTTGGCCAGTAGAAGGTTTGCCCTCCCAATGCGTTTGTGGCTCATCCTACAACATCGACCATGCCATAGTGTGCAAGAAAGGGGGGCTTCGTATGCATGAGGCATGAAGAAGTGAGGGATCTCACAGCAAATATGTTGAAGGAAATCTGACATGATGTCAGGGTAGAACCGCCCCTCTTCCCATTGGATGGTGAGAATTCCCATCACAAGACTTCAAACACATCTAACAAAACCCGTGTGGACGTCAGTGCTCGAGGATTCTGGACGCGGGGACAGCGGTCCTTTTTTGACTTAAGGACTTTCAATCCCATGGCCACATGTCACCGTAACCTAGCTCTTGATGCTATACACCGGAGGAATGGGAATGACTAGAACAGGGTATATGTATATATATAGGGAGAGAATTCAGAATGTTCATCAAGGCAGCTTCACTCCTCTGGTGTTCACAACCTCTGGCGGGATGGGACCAAGTGCAAGATGTTTCTACGCCAGACTCGCGGAGGTGTTATCTGAACAGAAGCAGCAGCCCAGAAGTTACGTTACAGCCTAGTTGAGATGCCGACTGTCCTTCTCTCTGCTTAGGTCTGCATTGCTTTGCCTCAGGGAACGAGATCTTCGGCCCCAAAGTCTACAACGGCCGCAGGCATTGACTAAGAGGCAACAGTCACTGAATGCAGCATAGATCTGTAGCTCAACTAACTCAACACAGCTAGGATAGCTACTTATGTATTAGGATATTTAATTTTAAGGTAATAAAATGGCGGCGAATGTGTGGCTATTGGGGGAGGCTGAAGGCCACGTTTAAAAAAAATTAATAGCCGTAGTAGTAGTAGTAGTAGTAATGGAATTAATTCTCCATTACTAACTTATCATTACTACTACTACTATTACGACTACTACCACTACAGTAAGTATAGCCAATTAGTAAAATTAGTAGAACCATAACACTAATATATCAATGAGTAGATGGTAGTGGTTGGAGTATGCGCTAGTTATATTGGCAATGTATGATAGGTTTGGATTATAATGCTGTATGTTTTAATTATGATGGTAGAGTGCGTTAATTATGGTGGTAGAGTTCGTTAATTATGGAGGTATAATGTTTGTTTGTTTTTTTGTTTGTTTTTTTACGGGATTTAGTCCACCCGGGCACAGGTCAATGACCCACATCAGGGCCTGGGGGGCCAAAATTTAATAATAATAACAATAATAATAATAATAATAATAATAATAATAATAATAATAATAATAATAATAATAATAATAATAATAATAATAATAATAATAATAATAATAATAATAATAATAATAAAGAATCATAAAGAAATACAAAAATTAAAAAAAGATCAAAAGTGAGAAACAATATATGTATGTTGTGTTGTCAAGTAAGAGAAACAATTGAGACCCAGCAATTGTGTGTAAATGAGGCAGAAAGTCAGATCAGCAACCTGAGACTTGGTCACAATTTTTGTGATGCCATATAGCAGCAGGGTCTACCATTAGACAACACATTATGCTTCCAATATCTTCCCAGACGGTAGTACCTCCCTGTTTGGTAGCTGTGTTGGTTATGGTGGTAGAGTGTTAGTTATGGTGGTAGTGTGTTAGTAATTATGGTGGTAAAGTGTGTTAGTAGTTATGGTGGTAGAGTGTGTAAGTAGTTATTGTGGTAGAGTGTTAGTAGTTATGGTGGTAGAGTGTGTTAGTAGTTATGGTGGTAGAGTGTGTTAGTAATTATGGTGGTAGAGAATGTTAGTAATTATGGTGGTAAAGTGCGTTAGTAGTTATGGTGGTAGAGTGTTAGTATTTATGGTGGTAGAGTGTGTTAGTAGTTATGGTGGTAGAGTGTTAGTATTTATGGTGGTAGAGAATGTTAGTAGTATGGTGGTAAAGTGCGAAA